CCAAGTTTGACGTCGTAAAACTTGGACACACAGATATGTTGCTCAATGTTATAATTAAAAATGAAATTGTCAAGTCTTTGGTGATAACAAACAGGAGCAAATTCTTAAAAACTGGACCTCTGGATGTTCCAGAATCCCTGGTAACACAGGGGAAGGAAATTGCATTTCCACCTCCTGCTGCGGAGGTGAGAATAAAGACTGCTCAACAAAAACCCTTGTTACCCTCAGGGGACAAGTTGTTTCAGTGAGTATTTTTTAACATAGATTTTAGTTTCCTTACATATTAGTGAAGTTCTGTATTATTCATAATTTTATTTGATGACTCCAAAAAAATCCCGAAATATATATATGTAGAACATGACAAGGCAATTTTTTGTATGATCTTCAATGCCACAACACTGTGTATTAAATAATGCATTAGAAACCAAATTATTAGGATCATAAGATTAATTATAACATGTTTCTTTAACAGGAAGAGATGCAAAGGTCAGTCCGTGTCAATGGTGAGGAGACGAGTGTGAGGACTATAAAAGTTAAAGACATTACAGGAACATGCAAGGTGTCATTATGGCGTGACTTAACAAAGACGAAGACCTCTGTTGGAAGTCACATAATTATATCTGATGTTGTTGTACAGCTGTACAATGATGAGAAATTGTATCGTCTACTGTAAGGACAAAAATTGAGGTAAACCCTGCTCTGATAATGCTTGCTGAGTGTTAAACAACATTCTGACTACGGTTTTTTTTGGACGCCTTATAATGCTCTTTTGTTAAAAAAAAATCTTTCTTATCTTTCTTAGGACAGTTTGGATAATGTAATGTATTTTTCATTTTTTTAAGGAAGTAGCTGTTCCAGAAGTGTGCAAGACCCTTCAGTTCATTGCATATGAAGAGGAAGATGGCCAGACTATCAAACTCATAGCAGAGGAGGATGGGGAATACCCAGAATATCTAATTAAGAAGGCCTCCCTGTCTAGTGCTCTGAAGTGCGAAACAAGAGACATGGAGAACAAATTGATGAAGAAATTGCCCGTGTCTGCAGCAATTACTGTCAAAGAAAACAAAATTCTGACCATGACAATTTAAACTTTTGATAAGTAAGCATTTGCTGTGAATTACTGATTGCAACATTATTACTTGCAGATGTTTCTAAAGTTTTGTATTTCAAATTAAGTTTTGTACAACTTTTTTTAAAAATCATCTATCATTTAAATGTTGATTTCTCCTGATTTCTTTCCTTGTGTCCTGTCTGTAAGTGTTTCAAAGCATCTGAGGGTTATAACAATAAACATGTATTTATATTGATATATTACGAATTGTCCCTTGGTATTTCTATTTCTTGAAGTGAAAATTGAATTTCACAATCACCGCATCAGTGAACTGACTTTTATTTTGTTCTGAATACTAAACATACGATAATGAAGTCAATTAACACTTCAATGAATATTCATTCAGTCAAAATAGCACACAATGTCAATGTCACTATATTATTACAGTCCCTTAAGCTTTACATCTATATCAAGCTCGTAAGCCATTATGGCCCTTCAGGCCTTTTATTTTAATTCAGTAAAGGAATAAAAAGTTTAATAGAAAAAAATCTGTGATATAACTGTTTTCAGATGATGAATAAGTCATAACACAAGTACATCTCCCTCCCCAAGCCCCATTTACTTTGGAGTGCAGTTTTCTGTACTGAAATTTCATTCCCAAGCAACCAACTCATAAACCAAAAATTGTATTTGTTAGAAACTAAATGCAGAATATTTCTAGTTACTTCATGCTATTTTCAAAACGGCATAAAAATATGGTTGATACTGGTTTTGTAATGTATCTAAGGAAACCACAGTATAGGCACAGTGTATTCAAACAATATTATACATAGGTCCAATATTAAAAAGCCTAAAAATAATAACGAAACATTTAGCTAAAATTTAGCCAACATAATTTATAGGAGGGTTATCATGAACCTATAGTGAATGTTATTTTTTTGGTAACAGATTTGCCAGTAATCAAACAAGAATGTAAAAGTACGATGCCTTGAAGGCAATCACCTTTCAGCAGAAAATGTTCATAGTTCAGTCATACCCTAAGTAAATTACGCAATTTATGTTGCTTTATATGTTTATTAAGACTAAATATTGGACTATATATGTCACATTAAGCAATCTAATTGGAAAAAATGCCATTTTCTAACCAGTCAGTATTCCCCAAGCGCTCGTCCTCGCTGGGCTGTGTGTTGTTTTCATCTACCAATTCCTCGTCAGAATCGGCTTCTGGCTCAAACTGGTAAGGTCTTGTACCAAGTTCGACACCCGATCCATCTGGTTCATCAAAAACTGAAGATCCATCTGACACATCAAGGCTGATATCGTCGTTGTTGACAGTTGTCGGAACTAATCTCGTTGTAATCCATACTTATCCGCCTAATCTGTCAATGTAGTGACGTCACGGCGATATAGCCTTGTTTTCGATCGATTCTATTTTTGCTTGATTGGATTTTCATAACAGGTAAAAATAGACGCTTACAACGGGCAATAACTCCGTTAAACTTGCATCGATTTCGATGCGTTCTTTTTGTTGGTTTTATTTCGCCAAGCTCTAAAACACCCATTTCCATCATTGGCGGATCCAGAGGGGGGGTTCCGGGGGTTGGAACCCCCCTTTATTTTTTGTCAAGTGGAGAGAGAGAGAGAGAAAGAAGGGGAATAAAACGTTTCCCGAGAATAAATATTTGTACGTCTAACATAAATATGTATTGAATAGATAGATTCTCACACATTTAGTTTTTCCATTCACCTTCACTATTACTTTTTATGAGTGAATGGTAGAAAATATTCTACTTATTTTTATATATCTTATGTAACATACGAGGTTAAATTTGATATTAGATTCCCGCGATCTTAATTTGGCTGTGTTGGCTATATACAAGTATGTGCCATTTTTTTTTAAATTAAATCTTTAGAAGGAACTAAAATTTAATTCATTGTTTTATACCCACCCCAAAAAGGATTAATTTTTTAATTCTTAGAGAAAATTCATTGTACTCTTCGGAAATGTTACAAATCCATTCAATTTTAAGGCTTCGGTAGTTTTTTAAATGTGTTACTTTTTAATAAGGACTGGGGGTACCTTTTCAAAGAAAAAAGGATGTAGAACAAAGATATTGTTTTCCACAATCATATTTTTCCATACATGTGTGTGTGTGAATCTTTGCTTGAAAGTTTTTAGTGGGGGGGGGGGGGGGTTAGAGGGACACAACCCTGGAACCCCCCCCCTTTCAAAAATTGCTGGATCCGCCCCTGTCCATTACCCTTTAATGTATGACATAGGGCTCCTACAATAGAACACAAGGTAACAAATCCATTGCCAAGAGCCGCAAACATTTTAATTCTTCCACCAGTAGAACCAGAAGCAACTACCAGTTATTATTCAGAAGAGGAGGAAGATGAGTTAGCTGTTTACCTTGCAAAGACTTAATAAGGGACACGGTCCAGTTTGTCATAAAATCTAAACTACAAAACCAAACACGGGTAAGTGTTCTATTTGTATTCTTACATTGCACATGTAGAAACTTGTGTTCTGATTAGTCTGTTGAATATATAAATCACTAGGTGCATAATAAAAAAATAAAAAAAAATCACTACTTTATTTTTAGCAGGTATGGTGATAAATGTGGAGTCATCTATAGATGATGTTTATGAATGGCTATTAAAGAAGGGTGTTTCTCAGAAGATTAGCCAGATTTTTAGAGGTAAAAAGTGACAAAATTTCCTATTCCTATCTTAGGCCATAGTGTTTAATGTTAAATTTTTAATTTTTCTCTTGGTTATTTTTGTCATTGAATATTGTAATTTTAAGACAATATCAAAGCATTCACTCTTAATGCCAAAATATTATCTTACAAAGGAGAAGGTTTAAGGGAAACTAACTAAATAAAATCCAACAGTAAAACAATCTTTCTTATAAAAAAACTAATTTATAATACTTTTCTTCAGTAAAATCGATGACAATTTTTCAAAAAAGTCACGATATACTATTTATGGATAAGGAAAACAATACTTATACGAGAATAAAGTCGTTTTGTTCAGTTAACTCGGTTCAAGACTGCCCTAACTAAGAATCGCGTTTGATCAGTCCTACTGCAAACAGATACACATTACATGATACGCCCGTCATGCAGCTGGTCCACTACCCGAGGGGCCGGCCTTCGCTAGCCCCTGGGTGACTCGACTTTAAGTAGGGGGACAGAGGAATGGAATTCTTCAAATTTCTGACTTTAGGCTTCAACGGAATCGAATAATTTAAGTGGAGTATCACAAAGATTAATTATGACATTTGTTAATCGTTTATTTAATTTTCGTCAATTTCTTTGTAACTAATAATTTTTCTTAACATTAAGGCAACTTTACCGATATGGACACTTCCACTGGTCAAGCACTAGTTCCATTTTATTAAACAGGGATGTTGAACATCTTTGAGTAAAAATGAAAAGATTTGATTAATTTCAGTGGTTTTTGCCCCATCCCTCGTTAACCAAGAGGTAAAAACTAATAAAATTCACAATTCGTATTTCTCTTCATCAATAGATGCTTTGTGCCTTAACTGGTTGAATTAGTTCGGTGGTTTCAGACAAGAAGATTAATGAAAATTTTTAAATATTAATACACATCACACAAAAACAGATAGTAAACGGTCACCTGAGAAAACTCGGTATTTTGGGGATAAGTCAAAATGTAAATGGTACAAACACTTGGTATTTAGAAGTCGAAAATGAAATGCTTTCTTATTTTGCCTCATCAATGACAATCTGCTGTCATGTGCAAATAAAGAGTTTCATTTAAGAGGAAAATAAACAATTCTATAAAACATTATTGATATTTTGACTTAAAGGACACAGGACATAAAAAATATTTTGTCTGCATTCAATGTCCATAGCATTCCTAAGTCAGATTCTCACACTGAATCTGTTAAACAAGCATCAGATAACAAAGCACAGCTGGATGTAGTAATCTTTAAATACCAACCTATGCAGTTCTCCGAAAAATGCCGACAATTAATGATAAGAGTCACGTGGGCGATTTTTACGTCAGAGGTGAGCTTCCTGCAAATTCTCGCTTTATCTTAAACAAAACAATGAAAGAAGCCTCGTCAGATAGATTTTCTCTTGCTCCTGAAGAAATAAGACCCTTTAATTTTGAGCCCTTATTAAATCAAACTCAAAGCAGCAATAGAAGTGAATCTGAAGATTCAGAGGGAGGTGATTTGGAGGAGGATAATGCAGTAGCTGTAATTGGAACCCGCAGAGAGAATTTAACATGGTATGAAAATAAAACAAATATTTTACTAGTTTAAGTTTATATTTCAGAAATGAAACTTTTGTTCACCAATTCATTATCAGCATTATTACATGTGTAATATATATATTTCATATATGAACAGTAAATATATAATTTGATTTACATTACAAGGTGTGTCTGTGAAAGGTGCCAAGTAATGGAAACAAATGAAGGATGTTTATGCTGCCATGAAATTGCACCCATTTTGGAAAAAGTAGAAGCAAAGGAGTTAAAGTGTAGCACAGAACATGATGGGTTTCAGGGAAATTGCCTCAAGGTTGACGTCCTGGAAGTCTCCATGTATGAGTTTGTAGACACTGATGGGCCCCCATGATGACAACGAGCCAACACATGAGTAAGATAATGTATACATATAACTTTTCTTATAAAAGTTTTTGATTTTTTCCTTGAAACATGTCAAGTAAATTATGATATAGGATTTTCCTCATGGTTAATATTATTTTAAAGATTATATATATACTTGGCCTACAGAAGATTTCACTCGTTGGATCTGGCATAGATGTTCTTCTGTTAATCAGTTCATTTTTGTCAAAGTCTTCATACTCATGAGTCAGTGGACGTGGTTCTTCAGCTTTATGACCAAACACAAAATCATCTTAGGCAAATTTTAAGGAAGGATGGTGTCTTCTTCTAACAAAAATCTTTTCCAGCAATTTTCCGACATATTCTGTGGAATCAACAGAATACTAGTATAAGAATGAAAATCTTATAAGGAAAGCAAATACATGAAAGACTTAGTGATTGTTTAATTATTTCATTATAGATTCAATAGATATTTATATATGTGAAATTATCCTACAGCATTTGTTAGTCACTTCTTTTAACTTATTTACCAAAGATTGCGGGCACTCTGCGAGGTTTTACTACACATTCCTGCCCTTTCTTCGCCTTTGGGTAGGATACACTCCACTGTAGTTCACCCTCTCTTGTTATTGACTGACGTCTAGTTCCGTTTTCATTGTAATGAAATGCAGCAATACACAACCTGTTGAAAATGAATAATATAAAATTTCTAAAGACTTTTTTTTTTACTTTAATCTATAGAACTATGAACGTATTAAAAAAGAAAGGCTACAAACCTTGCAAGCATTGGCATGTAAAAGAAGTGTGTACTCTTTGGTGCGAAATGATACACCACAGAGTGAAAAACTTCAAGTCCATATGTCTGGTAAACAGGTGACAGTTTTGGAAGATCTCTAAGGAGATAGGGACTCTCCACAACATCTTTTACCATCTTGTGGCATATAGAGCATAAAATGGAAAAAAATGCGAAATTTTTGGAATGTGTTAGTTATAAAATAAAAGAAAATAGATTTAATTGGATAATGACCTTGCTGCATCCAGTCTCTAGGTTCATTTAGCTGGCCATGTTCACACCGTGGAAAGACCTCAGAATCATGTTCATAGACATTGATAAGATGGTTGCTAATAGATTTCCATTTGTCAACCTTCATTTGCCCATTGTTTCCACTTGACGCTGCTACCAAGTATGTGTGGTTGACTATACTTTTTATCCAAGGACGGATTTGACCAGCCCCACGCTTTTTTTTTATTAATTAATTGCTTTTTTTTATTAATTAATTAAAAATTAATGTAGGAAAGTCGATAATTTATCCAGGAAAAATATTTTTTTTTTCTTTTTTTAATTTCTTCCTTTTACTGGAGTTTTTCATTCTGATGTTTGTAAACCTAAATATAAGAGAATACTGTTTTTTTTTTCATTTTATTTTACAGGTATCTGGGATTAATATGTATACAGAACATAAATAATTTTATAGTTTGGTGGAATCTGGTTATTTGCTGGAATTAATAATTAGTTTTATTTTGTAGGGTCCCAAACCAATGACTATGTTTGTTTTGCAAGAAGTGGTAACCAGAAGATATGCTAATGGTGAGCAATCCTACGGCACAATGTGGATGGTGTCTAGTGACAGTAACTATCAGACACTTAAGCAGGTCATCATCCACGAAAAGCACATAAAGATTTTGAGGAAGATGAATGCTTTTTTAATCGTAAAGTACACTATGCTGGAGGATGGGAAGTAAAGCTTGGCCAGCAGACTGTGGCATGTCTTAATTACTATCATAAGTTAAAAGTATAGGAAAGGTACAAATATGATGAAATGCGATTTTACTTCTACTTTATAAAATGAGATATCTATTTGTTATACACTGTTCCACAGCCGCAGTGTTAGCTCCGCCCACCATAGATACGTCATAGCAACGAAACAGCCTCGGACATAGAGAGTGAAAAATGGCGGCGGATACAAACGCTCTACGAATAATTCCGCCGAGTATATCTTTGGATTATTTTAAAAATGTTGTCGTTACATCCCGTGCAAAGGAGAGAGGGTATAATTTTTTCATTAATAGTTATATCCATGCAGTAAAACTGTATACTTCCACTGATAAAAGCGTAGAAATTACGGCAAAATGTTACCGGTCGATGAAAAAGAGCAAGGATCCTCACAAGATAAATATGACGATCAACTATGATGTTGGCGTCCTTGACGATAGTCATTGCTCTTGTCAAGCAGGGTGAGTTATGTATTTTCTTTTCTTAACTCTGTGACTAATTTATATTGCGCTTTATCTCATACCGTAAGTAAATAAAATTGATAAACAAATTGTTTACTAATGGACTCTCCGGAACCTGTGCTCATACAACGGCATTGATATATACTCTCCAGCATTATAAACGTCTAGGACTGAATCAGGTTCCTGCAGAGCTACCCTGCACAAGTTTGCCTCAACAATGGCACAAGCCTAGGGGGACTAAAATTCAGCCGGAACCCTTATCCTCCATGGTTTTCTCGAAGCCTAAACCAACCCCACGAAAGAAGAAACCTGTTTATGTGGACAAGCCAAATCAAACGTAATCATACATTATTAATAAATGTAAATATTCAATTTCACAAAGCTATTATATAAATCAACTATTTATAACAGGGCATGATGTTATGGTTTTTCAACTCTTGTCAGTCTTGAATTTAGTCCATTTTTTTTCTTTGTGTAGAATTCCTGATGTGTTTCCAGAAGAGATCAAAAAGCTTAAGGTTGACCCCTCACTGCCACTGTCATATTTGCTGCAGGAGGATGTTGAATTGGAGCCATCCATTTGTGGGAAAATACAAACAGGATCCATGCTTAAATATCATGTAAGATGGCTTTTGAAGGACATGAAATCAACAGACTTTAATTCAATGATTCTCAAAATAAATATCTTTATTTATTGAAAAAAGTTAATTCAACTTTCACATTTTAAATTTATATTAACATTGCATATATTTATAAAAAGGATTTCTCATATTTTGTAATTGGATGTGATTTTTTATTCAAAAAGTTGTGTGTTTCTTTTCTCCGAGTCATAACGAGGGGATAAAAAAATCACACCCAGCCACAAATCATGGGAGATTCTTTTTATCACATATTTAAAACATCAATACTAATGTTTTCATCACAGCAGTGGAATGTGAAAAAATATCCAATGTCAAGTGATATCGATCATAGAAATATGGTGTAAATACATGTATAAGTAAACTGATGTACAAATGTTGAACACTATGATAGTTTCACTAATATGTCCTGAAAATTTGTGAGAAGAGATGCACACACCCAATATTCATTTACACAATGCAACAAAGAGACAGGAATTGTTTTGCTGAACAATTTAAAGCACTTGATTCGATTAATGGCTCTTTCAACATGTATTCTGTGAGCAGCAATTTTTCTTGTTAAAGTCACATCAGCTGCACTCATGGAATGGGATCTAGAAGCAAACGGAGGGATATTCAGTCTTAGTCCCAGTTCAGCCAGCTGATCCTCTATTTTGAAACCCTTATCTGCCATTATTGAGTCCCCTGGATGTAAATATTTTTGCCTCATCTGAGATTCTAAATACTGAAAAAATCCACTTTTGGTACAAATTTCATTGTCTGAAATAGATCCACAGTATAAATCAGACACAAATAAAATAGAACCTCTTGGGTCACACACCACAAGGGATTTTAAGGTGGTTGCTGATTTATATTCACTATAACATTGACTTTGGCATAATAGAGATGAGGGCCTTTGTATCTTGATTTCTGTACAATCAATAATAGCAACACAGTTTGGAAATTCTTGTTTATATGTAGATGGCATGTTCTGAATAATTATATCTCTATGTGGCCAGTAACTGAGAGATCCTAAACGTAAATATTTATACTTAGAGATGCCTTTTAGTATGGTTGACACACTTTGAATCTTCAAATTAAATCTACAAGCCAAGTCTTTAACTTGAAGTCCTTTCCTGATTCTGCATAGGAACAAAAATACTTGTTGATCTACAGGCAGTCTCTTTACCTCTTCCCTATTTGAATCATAAGTAACGGGGTTAGCATCTGAAAAAGTTCCATTCGGGAACAAAAAAGATATCAACATCAAAAAACGTAAATGTGTTATTCCTGTGTAATACTGAAATAATTTTTTGATTTTTGAGTTGGACACAAACTCCACATTAAAAGGTTGAACATGCATATCAGTTTGTGTGTGGGTGCTTCGAAGGCTTTGGTTATTAGACTGCAGTGCTTCTAAAGCTTCACGTAGTTCTTTATTTTCCTTCTCCAATTGATGTATTCTGGTTGCCATTGCCAACATCTCCATAGATGAAAATACTGGAAGAAAATTATAAACCTTTACAATTAGATTTTATTACATGTGTATTCACAAAGATTTTCTTTAAATACATAAATATGAAAATATATAAATTTTTTTTATTAGTTTCAGCATTTTAATGAACATCCTCAAGTTGATGCAGGGAAATGTGGCGAGACAAAATTCCAAAAATTGTAAAAAATATTTTGGTGAATGAAAAATATGAAAATATAGTGAAAATGTTTCCTACCACTATGCAAGATGCAGAGAAAATTGAAAAAGAGACTGTTGGTCAAGCTAATTGCGAAACATGGTTCAAAGAAAGAAGGGAACGACTAACAGCCTCACAGTTTGGAAAAATCTGCAAACGGAAAAAGGCTGTAAATGATGTATTTCTTAAGGATATTTTTCCAGCCTCAAATAAAAACTTTTCTACTAGTGCCACACGTTACGGTCAAGGGAATGAAAATAAAGCTAAGAAAAAATATTTGGAATCCTTCCAGGAGAGGCACATACATGCTTGTGGGTTGGTAATAAACCCTGATTTTCCTTATCTAGCTGCCTCACCAGATGGCAAGGTGTGTTTTAAGGGGGAAACAGGTGTCCTAGAAGTGAAGTGCCCATTTACTGCACGTGATATGACCATCTCCGAAGCAGTTCAACAGATTCCAAAATTCTGTCTTCAGGAAAATGATGGAAAATTTGAACTTCAGAAGAACCATGACTATTTTTTTCAAATACAGGGTCAGATGATGGTGTCGGGGGCAACTTTCTGTGAATTCATAGTGTTTACTAGAAAGGATATTTTTGTTCAAAATGTAAAAGAGGATTTAAATTTTCAAAAAGATATGTTTGAGATGTTCTCAAATTTCTACTTGCAGCATGGTGCCAAATATGTTAAAATGCCGAGAATCTGACATAGTCAAAGTATATGTAAAATATTTGTGTTTATTTATAATAGCGAAATAAATTAATACTACAAATATACACTGGTTTTCCCCTGACCTATCAGAATGATTATTAGTAAGTTTCTGATAAACAAGGCTGAAATTTTATATAATTAGAAATTATGAGAAATCAAACCTACACTGTTCACTTGTTTGACAGGCAGTTTCCTGATGATAAACATCACTCTCCTTTGTACAGGTCTCCATATCTTCAGTGACCTCACTACAAAAAAATGTATTCAAAACTAAGTCTTGCAATAAACATTACATACAAACATTGAGGGTAATAACATGTACTTGTAGAGTCACGAAATAAGGACTTGGTCTTTTCATCATAGGTATGAATCCCACTGTGGGACGTGAAGACCTTCAGATGAGACCATATTTATAACTTGAGGTCTAGTGTTGCAGTAGGTGCTGACACGAAAAAGATCCCTCACTGCTCTATGGCCCTGCATGAATGTTTTTATTGGTCAAAGTTTGCAGTTCTCAACCTACAAGTATTGGTGCCTCCAAATGAGTGAAAAATTCTTGAGTGAGACATTAAACATCAAACTATATTCAATTTACTTTAACTGCCTCTAATCATAAAGTTTTTAAGTTTTCATTGTTTGAGAAGAATACTGTAATAATCAATACTATGCTGTCTATATCATGTTGTTAATATGCGACCTATACCCTCCAAACATTAAATATCCCCCTCCATGTGCCATACTAGCCAGATCATAGTTGATATAAACACACAAAGTGCTCACTATATGATATATCACATAAGCATTAAACGGATGTAAATAATTGTTACCAAATATTTTGCTCTGAGAAAATGAACTTGATGAAAAATTCTTTGTCAAGATAAATATGTATTTTCTTCATTTACCCCTCAAAGTGTCAAAGTGTCTACATAGCTAATAATATTTTACCGGATTCCATATAATTATATCAGTATATTACCTAAATGACAGTACATTACTGGAAGTAGCATTTCCACTAAATGCGCTGAGAGGCTGACGGGATGGAGGATGTCTCGCCTTCTTAAATTCCCCTGTTTTCGCATCACATGGGTCTGGGTACTCTGCTGTTGGCCCATCAATATTGAAGAAATGCTAAGAAACAAAAATATTACTTGTAAAGTAGTAAGTACTGTACTTTCCTGTCGAGCCATGAATGATACATGTATGGTGAACTAATAATGGAAATTTCATTCATCATTAATATTATGTTGATAGTATCCAATAACTATCGAAAATAAATCATTTACAACAAGATCTATAACAAGCTCAGCTAGCCTACAACCAACGGGCCGATACTTTTATTTTCATCCATAGCCTAGTTAATCCGAGATTCCTCCGACTCTAACCCCCGCTTTTATATTGTGACTGCTCCGCACAAGTCACAAGGGGGTTCGAGTCAGAGGAATCTCGGATTAATCCCTAGTATGCCTGTTCGCTTTCTCCGCTGGTTTACAAATTTCGATAAGATAATAAAAAGCCTCGAAACATATAAAGAACAAAAAATACCCTTACCTTAGAACATATATACGTATCTTTTGTAATTTTGTTGACATTTAGCTGATGCTGCGGCCTATGACATAACGCAATCCATCGCATACACTTGTGCAAGTTCGTCTTTGGTTTAGGAAACGGTATAAACTTGGCACAGTTAAGCTTGTCTTTATATCGACTGTCCGAATTGCACGTTCCAAATGAACAATGTTTCACCATTTTCTCTTTAGAATAGATGTATTTTCACATTAAAAACAATGTAAACATCACTGTACTAATCGTACACAACATGGCGGTAATGTCCGAGTCTTGTCCGAGGTACGTAATGGTGGGCGGAGCTTATTTTTCGACGTATATCATTGGTCAAAATATAAGGTCACGAACTTCTATGGAACTGTGTATTAAGCAACTATTTTTAAATACATTGGTTATAGCTGGTGAAACTGAATTTTTTCTTGTGCATTCTTTACTGGTTTTTCATTAATTGTTTCATGGTATTATTAGTGTGTGCCCTTTGCATTTGTATATCTCATTGTTTGTTGATTGATAAATTGCAATGAATGATAGATGTTCCTCTAAATTAAATGTGTTGATTACTGCAATGATTAAGGTTTTTGGTACAATGCTTTTATGCATTGTAACATCATCGGAAACCACCGGGTGATCTTATCTTTACTTATCACCCGTGGACAAACTTGATATATATCGTATGTAATCTTCGTATGTAATTAAATATGCATGGGTCATTTAATTGGCCACATTACAGAGTCGCGATGCGAAACAACGTAAGAATCACAGTTCACGTTACTTATGCATGTTCAGCATTGCAAAAACATGAAAAATATGTTGCATTTTGCAGTTAGAAAGTGGTAATCATATAATATTTGACGGATATTAATATCAATGACATGTAGAAATTGACTATCATTGTTTCAATTAAACTTTGCACGTTTTAACGAGTGTCAAAATATTCACCATAAATAGCAAAGTAATAAATATATTTTTAAAATTGAAGAGTTCCAACTTTCTGATTGGTTGACTAAAAACAACAAATTGGTCAGAGACAAGAAGAACTTATGCAATAGTAATGCGTCCGTCGTCCATCCGTCTGTTTGTCAGTTTGTAAACAATTTTTCAAAATGCTACTCCTCCTACAGTTTTGGTCCGATTTCAATATAACTTGGCACACAATTAGACTACACTAATATACATAATTTTGTGCATCGGATTTGGATATCAATGAACGATGTTACCATGGTTACTAGAAATAGAAATTTTTGTGAAATTCTTTCAAAATGCTACTTCTCCTACAGTTTGGGTTTGACTTCAATATAACTTTGCACATAAGTAGACTACACTAAGTTACATAATTCTGTGCATCGGTTTTGGATTTCGATAAACGGTGTAGCCAAGGTGACATGTACTAAAAATAGAAATTTCTGTGAAATTCTTTCAAAATGTTACCCCTCCTACAGTTTTGGTCCAATTTCAGTCAAACTTGGCACACAAATAAAATACTCTAAGGTACATAATTTTGTACATCATTTTTTAGATTTCGATGAACGATGTTGCCATGGTTACTAAAAATAGAAATTTCTGTGAAATTCTTTCAAAATGCTACTCATCCTACAGTTTTGGTCTTATTTCATTTTAACTTGGCACACAAGTAGGCTATACTAAGGTACATAAATCTGTGCATCGGTTTTGGATTTCGATAAACGATGTTGCCATGGTTACTACAAATAGAAATTTCTGTGAAATTCTTTCAAAATGCTACTCCTCCTACAGTTTTTGTCTGATTTCGGTATAACTTGGCACACAAGTAGGCTATACTAAGATACATTTTTCTGTGCATTGGTCTTTATTTTGATAAGTTGCAAGGACCATTTTTCTAATAATTGCTATTTTAAAGTTTCAAGTCCCAGCTGCTACTTTTCTCTTCCTTTGTTTATGTATAAACCGGGGTCTGCCCACTAGTTCGAAGGTTCATTAGTCCGAAGGCCCACTAGTCCGAAGGTTCAATAGTCCGAAGGCCCACAAGTCCGATTGAAAAAAAGTTACAAACTTCATGTTTATATAGATAAGTTAATTACAAATAAAAAGTTAAAGACTATAACAATGATTTGTTGACTTTTTGAAGATATTGCCATTCTTCCGTGAGATAGGTAAAGGTTCAGTATTTGACAATGTAAAAACAGAAGTTATAAAACCGTGAATATGATTTTTTTTTATTGAAAATCTAAATTCTACGTTATATATATATATTTTTTGATTTGCATATGGATTTAGATATGAATGATAAAAAGATGAAAACAAAAAAAAGTATCTTGGGGCCTGGGGTGTTTTTCCGGGAAGGGGGGGGGGTCTTGTCCACATAAGCACCTACAGCTGAGTGGAGCAAGTGTCTTACCACAAGGCCACCATAGTCGATCAATGGTATAGCAAAAAGAAATTGGAACATGGGAATATGCAGAAAATAGGATGGAAGTTTCAAATTTTATTAATGAACTTATGTCGCAGTTTTTGTAGCATGAATTTCAAGAACCTCAAAGGAACCTGAGTAGTAACCTGTTAAGGTACAAAATAGAAAAAAATTGCAAAGCAGGCACGTAGCATCGTTTTTGAAAGTCAGGGGGGGGGGCAACCTGAAAAAAATTCTTTACTTACCTGCCTGAAAAATTAACAGGCCCGATTAATAATAGATGTCCAAATTCCAAAATCCTAATTCGGTGGGGGGGAGGGGATTATTTTCCTTATAACACTACACTGCCGTGAAATGGTGGGGGCGGCTTCCTTTTCCTAAAGTAAAGGTAATCTTGAGAGAAAATGTGGGGGGGGGGGGCAGCCCCCCTACCCCAAATACTACGGGCCTGCAAAGAGACTTACAGTGTGAACACTTTAATGTACGGACAATATATCGGTATTAGGGTTAAAACTAGTGAATCTTCGGATTAGTGGGCCTTCGGACTAGTAAACCTTCGGACTAGTGAACCTTCGGACTAGTACCAGTAGAGCTACAGTCTCGACAGAGACTTCTGGTTTACATTAAGTGTTTAACCAATCTTTGCACAATTTTAGTATATTACTGTTTTAACATTTTAACTTCCAGTCAAAGGAATGTTATTAATGTATATGTTATGCAAGAGTTCGCTGAGGTAAAACACTGTGCTTTATTGCATTACAAATATGTAATATTACCTGTACCTTGCAGTTATCAAACTTATTAACGCTTTTTTGCGGGAGAGTCGAGAAAGCTCTAAATTTTGGAAACACATGACATTATATAAAGTAATTAAGATCAAATTATTCAATCAATTTTATGCCAAAAGTACCACATAATGCCAAGAACAGGACTTAAATTAGTAGATTGTCAGCCAAGGAAACTACTCGTGAAAACTAACACGAGCACAGATAGGTTAGTAACAAACAGGCTTCTCTACATAACTAGACAAGTTTAGCTTTTAAAAAAAGCTTAGAGAGTCAGGCAGTGGATTTTCCTTCTCTATGATAATGTTTTAAAGAATCATAGAGAAATGAAAAAAAGCCTTCAACAAATTTTTAAACAGTAGCAGAGTTGGGCACTAAAATCAAAAGATCGTCTTAATATTTTTTTCTGCATAGGAACAGAAGAATTTGTGCATGCAAATTCTTGCATTTTTTGTCTCAAAATCAAAAGAACGGAAAGAATATATAAACATTTAAGTTCCAATTCAAGTAACATAATTCAAAGAATTTATTAACCTACAATCTCATTACATGTAACAGATCTATAAGATTTCAGGGGGAGGGGGATATATGGACATTAGTCCATTTTTAACAAAACGGAGCCCAATAATCTTCTCTATCATCCTTGTTAGATCCCCGTGGGGATCCGGGTTAGAATAGATCCTCAGTACCCACTTGCTTGTCGTACATGTAAAAGGCGACTAAATGGGGCGGTCCTTCGGTTGATACCGTGTAAACCGAGGCCCCGTGTCACAGCAGGTGTGGCACGATAAAGATCCCTCCCTGCTCAATGGCCCTGAGTGCCGAGCAAAGGCCCAAAATTTGCAGCCCTTCACCGGCAATGGTGACGTCTTCGTATCAGTGAAATATTCTGGAGAGGGACATTAAACAGCCGGTATACAATCAATCAATCATCCTTGTTAGAGTTTATCATGCCGCCGGTTGAATCACTCTTGGCTTGGTGTTTAGTCCCTGTGATACTTAAACAGCCAAACTGAACCTTCGTTTGAGAATACAAATAAAGGATTGTTGAAATACCCAGTACTTTTTCTAGTACATTTTAGAATTAAGAAAAAAAAACATTTATTGTTCATTCAAACAGGTAACATGTAAGCTTTGATGGTATAGCGTAAGCTTTTCTTAGTTTATTAACTATCGTCATTTGACTTGCTAGTAACTAGCTGAATTTTGGCTTAATTTTTTTTTCGTAAAAAGTAGAATTGAAGTAAAGCAAACATTACTAAGACATACAAAATCATTTATCAGACCTGCTATAATATAACCTATTAATTCATAAATATGATTGCCACAATCTAGATTATCAGGTCGTAGTTTATGAAAAACAAGCCAATTTACGGATAAAAAAAACATGGGCAGGTTGGGGGGGGGGGGGGGGTTCCAGGACGGGGCCATAGGGAGTCATGGTTTATGACATTTAATTGCAAAAACTCAAAACCTTCTTGAGATATTGACTGGAAATGAAAGTTTTACACAGAGTCACACAGAGGTATGAATTTATGGCATTGACGTTTGAACCTCAAAATACACAGGGGTATTCCTTACGCCATATATACATATGTATGGACATAGGGAGTTGTGGTATAAAATTTAATTGCAAAGGCTCAATGGCTTATAGAGATAGTTGAAAGTATTTCAACTGAAAGAATTTCTGAATTTAATACCTTGACCTTTGACCTCAAAATCAAGAGGGTCTTATAAAGGCCAAATAAGGTGTAAACAGTTGTGTAAAATATCACTGCAAAAGCTCAAAGACTTCACGCAATATTGCGGGGAAGTGACAGTGTAACAGACTGACAGAACCTATAGATGGACGGACAGACATACGGAAATTGATATTCTCTAGTTTCACCGAGGAGCAACAAATGAGCAAGCTTAGCCAGTTGTGTTTTCTTTCCGAAGTATCTGTTGTATGACTTAACAAGTCTGTCCGCTATTAAGCATCGGGATCGAAATGATTTGTAGTGAAAACAAAAGTAAAAACAGTAAAA